GATGGGGAGGTACAGGGGTGGCTTCTGTGAGAAAGAACTGGCAGCTTTCTCTATGTCTGACAAAGCCAATCCCTGATGGCTCCAAAGATGGATGTGCCACTGGCCAAGGCTGGGCCAATTGGAAATGCTGCTAATGCCTCTGTGATAACAGATTTAGCAAGAAATTTAACTAAGATTAGCAGTTGTAATTGTGGCCAGAGAAGAGCAGAGTGAGAGTATACGAGGAACAACTCTGCAGACCAAGGTCAGTGGAGAAGGAAGGAAAGAAGGGCCTCCAGTCAGAGAAGCTGAGAGTCCTTTGCAGACCATGGGGAGGCAGCTGTGCTCCTGCAGCCCACTGAGGTCCCAAGGGATGCAGAGATCCACCTGCACCTGTGGATGAGACCCACGCTGGAGCTGTGGCTGCCTGGAGGAGGCTGTGACCCTGTGGAAGAGCCAGTGGAGAGAGGCCCCTGCCCCCAGACTGGAGCAGCCTGTCCTTGGAGGACTGCACCCATGGAAGGGTGACCCACACTGCAGCAGTATTGGAAGGACAGCTGCCCATGGGATAGACACACTGCAGCTGTTCACAGAGACCTGTTGCTCATGAGATGGACTCACATTGGGGAAGTTCATGGAGAACTGTCTCCTGTGAGAGGGACAGCCCTCTTCTCCCTGAACAGCAAGAGAACCCTCAGGTGATGAACCGAACCCCCCATTCCCTGCCTCCATGAGCTGCTGGGGGATGAGGTAGATCTAGGAAGGAAGAAGGGGTGAGGGGAAGATGTTTTCAAGGTTTTATTTTACTTCCCATTATCCTGCTCTGATTTCATTAGCAATAAATTCAATTAATGTCTCTAACTCGAGCCTGTTGTCCACATGATGGTATTTTCAAGTGATCTCTCCCAGTCCTTATCTCAACTCATGAACCCTGTTTTATATATATCTCTTCCTTGTCTAGCTGTGGAGGAGAGTGCGAGAGAGCAGCTTAAGTGGGTGCCTGGCATCTAGCCAGGGTCAGCACACTACACATGTTCACTAAATCTCCTCATTCTCCTCATTCTCTGTTCTACTAAGACATGAGATTCACTGAATTCTCTAGTCCATGTCTAACAGCCACCATTACACTATGTATTATAAAAAGTTGTAAACTATGCAGGAGGCATAACTTCACAGAGTGGGGGGTGGATTATGTAATTCTTTCAACTGAAGCTATTGATCTTGAGATGGGCAGCAGGGGAAATAGAAAACACAGTCTTCTGAATGCAGATTTGGGATAACAGTGGGATAATGTATTTCTGGCTGCATCTGGATCTCTGCAGGAGCAGTAGGCAGCCTCTGGAGAATTTCCTAGAACAGTTTGCACCTTTACCCTTATACAGCTCTGGGTAAATCAGGAGACTGAAAGATGTCCTGAGTCTCAGGAGAGTAGCTTCCAGCTGGGGATTCTTACTGTCTCTTCATCATGGGAACAAATCTTAAAATATTGGCAAGGAAAACATGGGTTTTTCTGCAGTCTGCATCATCATTCTCCTCATATCTTCCCTATATGGGTAATTTTACTATAATTCTCACATTTTTCTTTGTTTAGAAGGAATATCTTTAAAACTTGTCAAATATAGTTGCTTTTCACAACGAGAGACAAACATATATGGATTTTCCTCACCCAATCATAGTGTCATAAATTCCATGAATTTTTTTTATATATACACACACATATATATATATATATATATATATATATATATATAAAGCCTAAGATAGCAAGTTCCAGCATTCAAAAGACCATAATCATCCAGATGCAGATTAACCAATTGGACATTAGTAAGTAAGTTGTGGCTGCATCTGCTGTACCAGCCAGTGAACTATATTTAGATGTAGACACCCATCTGAATATTGAAAGCTGTTCTTTTCTTCTTCAAGTTTTGCTCAGCAGAAATATCCATAGAGTTGCATCTTGTTCCTACCCAGCAAAAGATTTAAATATCTGGTGCGCTGCTATGTCCTATGAGACAGAAGGGGAACAATTCCTCATTGCAGAGAAAATGTGCGGCTTTGCACTCCATACAAAGTACAGTGCTTTATCAATCTCTCTTCATATTACTTAAGGAGGCTCTACTGAATCTTTATTTTTAAAATATATCCCCTATAATTCCATACTGCTGATGAACTAAGGCTCTGACATACCACTGATTACTTCTGGCTCTCAGACTTTCCCCTTAGCCCTCCCAGCTGTCTCCTCTTGTTGTTTTCAGCCTTCTCCTTGACAGCAATATTCAGATTCTCTACTGTCTCCTTGTATAGCTCAAAGGTACATTCTAGCATCCTTACCTTTTGAGTTCACTGTCCTAGGGAATTTTTCTACATAGTAGAGTAACCATGCTTCCTGTGCAGTAGATAGAATATTCCTCTTTTTTTTTTTTTTTCCTTTGCTTATAGGACAAAGCTTATTTTCAAGGGATAGGACTTGGATGTTTGAGTATCATAGGCTGATTACAGAATCATAGAATGGGATAAGTGGGAAGGCACCAAGAGGTCATCCAGTTCAATCCAGCTGTCATGGGCAGGGCCATCTTCTACTATACCAGGTTGCTCAAAGCTCCATCCAGCCCAGCCTCTCCAACACTTCCAGAGATGGGACATGCACACAGCTTCTCTGGGCAGCTTGTTCCAGTGCCTCACCACTGTCAGAAGGAAAAAATTCTTCCTAATATCTAATCTAAACCCCACTCTCTTTCAGTTACAGCTATTACCTCTTGCCCTACCTGTCCCTGTAAAGACCCTCTCCAACACTCTTGCAGGCCCTTTTTTTTTAGTTACTGGCAGGTTGCCCTAAGTTCTCCCTAGAGCTTTTCTTCTCCAGGCTGAACAACCTCAACACTCTCAGCCTGTCTTCTCAGAGGAGAAATACTCCAGCCCCCTGAACCCTCTTTGTAGCACTTCTCTGGATTCAGTCCAAGGTGTTCACATATTTCTTATGTTGAGGATCCCCAGAACTGGATATAGTACTCCGAGTGCTGCTCTCACCAGAATGGAGCAGAGGCAAAATCACCTCCCTTGATCTGCTGGCCATGCTGCTTTTGATGCAGACCAGGATGCAGCATCACAGGAGACATGCACAGAGAGAATCCAGCTATCAGTCTGTGGTCCAAATGGGAGATGTTCTTCAGAGTAACAGAAAAGGTTGTGTAATTAATATATGTAAAGTTGTGCTTGAGGCAAGAGATTCTGGGTTAGAGTGAAGAAGCTCAAAACAAAAACAGATGACTGATACTTCACTGTGCATTTGGATTGGAAAGGGAACCAACTCCCAACAAGCTGAAAGTACAGAAATTCCAGGGTGGGGATAGCAATGGTGGTATGGGTAATAAAACAGAGAACTCTGGCATGTGAACGTGGGGCACATGAATCTCCCTGCTGTGGAGACTGCTTTTGGGTGGAATGACAACAGAAAACAAAGAACATTTTTGTTAGGACAGGAAAATAAGACAAAGGAATAGAGAAATGTGGGATTTCCATTAGGAATAACTGAGACTATTACATGGATTCCCTGGAATGAAGGGTCAAGAGAAGGATTCACAAAGCATATGAAAAGAGGCTTAGAGGAAATAGTCTAAATAGTATTTACTGAGCTCAGAATTTTCAGCTACAATTCAGTAATGATCTCTTGGAGTCATTGTTGGTCACCCTCTGGAGTTCCCAGTTCAATGTGTAGCAGTGGTCAAAAAAGCCAATGAAGAGTTAGGCACCCTTGGGAGTGGAGGCTGGGCTTCATCTGTGACTGTGACAGACAGAGCTGGAAGAGATACAGAGAAAGGCAACTGGCATGAGCAGGCAACTGCCTCATGAGAGGAGAATGAAATGGCTGGGATTATTCCATGTGTAGAGAAGCATGAAGGGCCATGTGGCCAGGATTTACAAAACTGTGAAAGCAGTACATGTGGCAAAAAGTGGATGAGAATGATTTTTCACCAAATGCCATAACTCAGTGAAAATACTGAAATACTGATTAAAGAATTTTCAGTCCCTCACCTGGACATGGTGGACAGTGGTCCTCTGGAAAGTATAACCCCAAGAAGTTCTGTAGGCAGACGAGCAGGTTCCAAAAAGGATCAGCAACACCCATAGGCAACATATGTGTGAGAGGCCAGGGAGTGCCTTCAGTACTTGGAACTCAAGGGCTGTGACTTCTAGGACAGTACAAGGGGAACAGACTTCCAAATTTTCATATTATTTACTGTCTTCTAATAGTATCTCCTTCTCTTACTGCTGGGACACTAGGCTGGGCTAGATAATACCTATGACATATTCAGTTGTAGCAAATTACATGTGATCCCCAGGATGGATCATATCCATGCTTTCAACCACGAGCGTGATCTCTGTTAACTCTGCAGGTAGCTGATGGTGTGATGCTGCTCTTTAGAATTTAAGGGTTTTATGTAGCAAAAACTTTCTTTACATTTGGTAAACCAAGATGTTATATAAAAATTCCCACTTCCACTACTAATATTCATTAAGAATTAAGCCTTTGGAGGCTTGGTATAAATAGCTTCCTTGAAATGGAATTCACAGCGGCCAAAGTCCTATCTCCCATCCAAGTCCTTAATATCTTTCAGGAGCCATTCAGAAGATTTCTATAGAAGGGTCTAACCATATCCCACAATCCGTGAGAACTCATGGTTGCTATCAATGACTGTACCTCCCATTTAGCACCCAAGGGGTTTTGCTGCCAAACACTCCATAAGAAAATGGCCAATGGACTTGAATGGTTTGAAACCCCTGGAAATTCATCCCTCTATAATTCATTATCTTTGTGATATACTTTTGCCTTCCCTGACCATGTCAATCATTCATTTTTGTTGCTAACAGGTGAGAGCAGCAGGTTTTGGTCCATGAAAGAAAAGCAGTGACAACCCACAGATTTTCTAGAGCCTCCTGATAGAGGAGTTTGATAAGAGCACAGCTATGAGGGTTCATCCTGCCATTGCTACACAGAAAATGCACTGACACCAATGCAAGTGTTGCGCAGTGAACAGGTCTGCATTCTTTATTGCAGAAAGGTTTTGCATGTAAGAAATAGAATTCTTTGAAGAAACAACTCAAAATATAGATGGATTTCAAATAACAAATTTAATACTAATTCCTTATTAAAGTGAAAGAAAAATAGCTTTATATACTAATAGAGGAAGAATATGGAATTTGTTTTTACTCAGAGTAAGTTCAGCATTTCCAGCATTTGAAATTTGTTGACAACCATCGTCTCAGATATTTTCTTTATTGTAATCAATATTTTTCTCCCAACCAATCTGAAGTTCTCTACTTTTTATGCCTTTTGTGGACTTTGAAGGTTTTTTCCCTTAGACGTTGAATTTAAATATCCATCCTTGACTTCTTTAACTGAGAGTTCGGCCAGGCAGTTGGGAGCTTGGAAGTGAACATTTTACTATAAATTTTTTTGTGAGCTGTTCTCAGTAGTGTATAGGAAACTTTTTCAGTTCTTGCATTACTTTCACACGTTATGCAAATTTGTATACATGAAATTAATTTGCTTTGTTTTCAAAGACACCAATAATTGAACAACGTGTTATAGAAACAGTCACAGGCTTATATTATTATGGAAATTTATTAAATGCTTCAGAAAGGTTTTCTTAGTTCTCTTCAGTAATAAAATTAAACATCGATCAGTTCCAGGCTTCCTTTAATATTACTCAAGTTGAGCCCCTGTAAAATAGAAAATCATAGCTTTTCTGTTATTTAGTTATTGTAGGACATACCCAAAATAAATAGAGATGATGAGATTTTTAATGTGGGAAGAAGTGCATGTGTGGAGTACTCTGCCCCAGGAAGCTGCTGGAAACATCTGTCTCTCAGAGCGCAGCAGTAAAAGCAGTGTGCTATTAGTGCTGCTATTAAAAACTAAAGAGAGAAGTGCAGCATACTGCTTTGAGATCAATATTCAATCTAATAAGGTCCCTTGCTTTCCCTCAGCAATCTCTAACAAGTCATGGTTGTTTACAAAGGAAGGTGAGGTTCGGGTTGTCAGCAGGCCTGGGCAGTGGCATGCACCAACATGTCTGAGCCATTGCTTGTCTTCTGTAAATCAGTACCAAGACTAGAAATATGCTGAGATCATCTATGATTACACAGAAATCATATATTCCATTATTGTAAAAGCTAACAGTAATCAAGGTATGATCATGTTTAAAAGAGGAGCCTCTAATAACCAACTGGAATATACTCTGGAGAAAAAAAAATGCAGCTTTGAACTAAATAAAAACTTTCCTTCCATACAATTTCCATGTGTATTTATAAAGCAAAACCCACCAATAAAAAAATTATACAACAAAACCAAATAAAAAAAACTAAGGTTTTCAATAGCCTTTATTAAAAAATAAAACTTGCTGAAAACAGCAATATTTTACAGATACTGTTCTAAGAAGAATTAGTTATATGCTTAAAAAAGAAAGACATGACAGTGTTTCATAAAGCCTTATGAATTTTTAATAAGCTCTGGAAAGCATGGCTTTTAACCACCTAGAAAACTGGTGCCACCATTTAAAATAAATCTCAACAAACTAGGACCAATTGAAAAATAATGTGAAATCTCTCTTCTTAAATACTTCATGTTATCCCTGATATTCTACCTCTGTCAGAAAAGTACAAATTTTCAGTAAACCAAAAGGTAAGCTACTGAGCTTGTTTAAGGATAAATGCAAAATTTAAATTCAAGCCACTGGAGAAAATTATTTTAGCTAAACCAAAATCTAGATCTATAGCATATGTGCTGTTATATAATGACATATAGGCTGCCCAAAAATAGCTGGTCAGGGTTTGTACTTGAAGTGGCATTTCAGTATTTGTATTCAGGCACCATGCAGGGTTGGCATCCAGCAAAAGCAATGTTAAGGAGCATGGAGGATGTTATAAGGCAAGGAAGGCACAAAAAAGACCATGAAACATTCCTGCATTGTAGACTTGCTGAGATATTAATGAAGGTGAAGGAATCTGGCTGATTGAATGTACCCATTAAGTACTTCACACATGGAATCGCTGTTAAAAAGTTGCCTTGAGATTTGGTAATTTCACCTTGGGCATAACCAGCCAAATTTCTTTCACATGTTTTGTGTAAGCTTTAAGAAGAATTACCTGGAATGAAGCATTAACTCCAACTCCTGGCTGTCACGGGTGTCCTTGAGAGTTTGTTGACAAAATATCAAGGTGATGGAAGTTTTGCTCTTGATGCTACTGAAAATCAAAAAGGTGTTTCAGGACCAGGAAGACCACAGCCATGCTTGTCTGGTGAAGGCAGCGTCATGATGTCGATGTACTTCTGTCTGGAGGGAAAAAAGGAATGGCTGGATTGCAGAGCTGACATGGCTGACCTCAAACAATGCAAACATATCCCAACTGCTGGAAATGTCTTATTCAACTCCAGCTTTGTCTGAAGCTAGACTAGAAAAGCAAATAAACACACAATCAAATTCTCCAACTACCATAAAAATGCTGAACTAGTTTAAATAAAAATTAGGATTGTCTATATTTTGATAGAAATTACATAAGAACACACAAAACTAAATTTTTAAAAAGGGGGGAAATGGGGAATTTTAGGAAAGATTCCTAGTTTTTTATTTTATATGAAATAAAAAGAAGAAAAAAATCTCTGCTCCATAATTTGACCTTGACATTACAGAAACTGTTTTCCTTTCCTTTAAAATATATATGGATAATTTTTTAAATTTTAATTTCAAAATAAGAACACAGATATTCAAAATTATGAAAGTGAAATATTTCAGAATTTTTCAATTTCATGTTGGAGAGAAAGGTGGAAAAATGGAGAGGTATTTCCTTTGTTGAACTCAATTTTTAAAGGTTTTAATTCTATACCATTGTTTTTTTGATAAAATACTCACAATAAACATTCCAATACTGAAGACCTGAATATCCATAGCACTTTTTGCTGCCACTGTGAATTTCAGTTCCCTGTTATCTTTTCTTTGCTAAATGATTCAGAGGTAAATGGCAGCAAACAACCCATAAAATATTATTGAGTAGTATTTAAGCCAATGCAAACAGGGGCTCTGATGGTGCTCCTGTTACAGCAGAATCCTGCTGTTTCTCAGCAGGCTGGACACTTCTGGCATCTTCTGCTTTCAGGTCCTGCTTTGCAAATAGTTTTAGAAATGAAGATAAAACATTTGCAAAAACAAGTAAAGGGGTCACAAGTGCACATTACTGGATGTTTTGATTGTGGATTTTCAAAGATTATGAGTCACAGTAGATAATTTTAGCTGTGTTTTTAACCACTATTTCTGCTATATTGCCTAGATGGAAATTATTCTAATAGTGGTTTGATCCTTGTGCTCATTTGCATTTAGATCTTTTGTCAAACAAGTAAATCTCTCAAATTTCTTTCAATACACAGAACTCTAGCTACCTGATTCTTGTACCATTTAGCTTGCATTTTAAAAGGGATATCCTTCTATGTCTTAGGACAGAAATCTCTTTAATTATGGTTTTGGATGTATTGTGTGTGATGTAAAATTACCATTTGCATTATTGTAAATTCCAAAAAGGGAGCTGATAGAAAAAATTTTGGGCCTTTGTAAAATAAATGCCTGTGTAACTACTGTTCTTTTATATCCTAAAACATCATATACTATTTATTTTTGACTCAAAGATGGTTTTTGTACAAGAGGTTGAAGTATATTTTCTGCTTTTACAGGCAAAATAAAGTTTAAGTTACACAAAATTATAAAGTTTTAGAAAAACATCAGTTCTATTCAGGTTTGTCTTCAATCCTTGATCACTTGTGAGTTCCAAAAGCAAAACATAACTTTTATCTATAAATTGATGATCATGGGGGATTGCCTCCTGATTATATGTTTATTTCTCATTTGTATCTTCTGATTGAGCTTTTAATAGAATAACTGTCCTGTTTGGAGATATTTCAGAAAAGACATATTAGTAGGAAACATCCTGAGGGCAAAAACCTGAAAAGTGATGCAAATATAAATCTTCTCTATTTCTGATTTTTCATGTCCTCACCCAAATTCATAAATATAACCAATTCACTCTTTGATAATAATTAGTGATGTAAAGTGGAACAGGTATTACAAATTTTTACCACAGACATTGAATGTTCACTGAGTGAGAAAAAGAAGAAAATTTTGGCTCATTTAACTTTGTAAAGCAGAGGCTGAGATGAGAGATTTTGTTTTCCCTAAATATACAAGAGAAATGGCCATTGACAAGAGGAAGAACAACTTCTTTCTCTGAGAGCAAATGTTGGTAGAGATGCAAACCACTAAATATTAGCTATATATATATACACACACACAATAAAAAGAGAAAAGGATCCTTGTATGGCAAAAGAATAAGATTCAGGAAAATTCATGGACAAGATTGTAGAATCTGTCTGCTTAGAAAGCCAAGGTTGGACACCAGTGACTAGAGAGGCCTTTCCTTTCCTCTCTTTCTGACCTCTGGACAGCCCTGGTTAAAAATCGCATTATTGAAGTTGCTGAAAGATTGGTCAGCATGGGGAAGAGATTGTGAACCAAATCAATTTTTGATTAAAATTTTATACATGATATTAATATTGTAAATCAGAAATTTCATTGTTATAAATTATAAAGCATGCTGGAATCTCTGCACATTGTCATCTTAATGCTCTAACTCTCATTGGGATTATATTTTTTTTGCCTCTGGTTATAATTTGTTGGTTTGCTTTTTTTGCTCCTTTGTGAAGAAAATGAAAGGATATATACAACCCAAAAGAACCTGTGAACTCTGAAAAGGCGTTGAAAATAGCACACACATAGAAACTGATATTTCTTTTTCTTCCTTCAAGTAGTTTATTTACTATCCCAACTATTCACAAATTCAAACTTAAATTCTATTATGATTGAGTTCAGTTCTCTTTACTGAAGTGAAATCCTCATCAGCTTTCAACAGAAAGTAACCCAACTGAATATGCTGTCATGGCCTATTCCTCTTTGCTATTTAATTAATTCATGTGAGAGCTGGACTCTGACAAGCCCAATGGGTGGCCAAATACTTTGGAAGTGGTTTTAAACTAAAACTAGTCAGATTTAGGGGCATGTGACAATCAGTGATAGAATGCCTTGATCAGATGGATCAGAATATACTGACTGACAGTAAAAAAAAACCAAACCAAACCAAACCAAAGCAAACCAAAAACACAACAACAACGCCAGTATTTTGGGGTATTCTGGTGATTTGAATTCAAATTCATTTTGTAACATGGGCTTCCTCTATGTTTTCCTCTATGTTTTCAAGCTGCTGAGGCTGATTTCAATGTGTTTGTGTGTGTGACACTCATGTTGTACACTACCAGTCTTAAGATGTCCCCCAGAATTCATAGCTGTGTTAGATGCTCATAATTCCCATAGAGAATTTCCCACTGGAAGAGTTTGCAACCTGAGGATGATGTTCACAAATGAGGGGAACCACTGAAGCAAACCAGCTAGAAGCTCCAGGGAGGGATATCAGAAAGGAGCCGTATTCCTTATAGTAAATGAAAATGTAATTCTGTGTAGTATGGTGAACTCTTTTCTAGAATGGTGAATCCTCTTCTAGAATGAGGGCCAGGTCTGGTTTGTTGCCCATGGCTTGGAAATCAAACACAGGCTGTATGCCTAGAAAGACCTTTAATGTTAGATAATGGAAAGAGTCCAGGTAAGAACTTTCTCAATTTTTCCATTGAAGTGAAAATTCGAAGGCAGTCATTTGGATGTGGCAATTACCATGTCTATTGTTCACCTGCCAGGGAGGCAGACGTGGCAGTGTTTGGCCAGTTCACAATTTCCCAGGTGTATAGGAATAATGGATGTATGTAGGTAGCTATGAGGGACTTACAGGAGCTATCAAGAGATATAGGGTATGGTGGTATAAGTGCAGAGGCATAGCTGTATGAATGCCTACTTTCCAAATTTACTCTTTTTTTGTGATGTGTTGCCTGATGAGAAAATATTTCCTTAGAACATTTCTGCAAAACTTATTTATAGCCTATGGGGTTTTTTTAGGGTTTTTTCATAAATGTTCTCTGGAACTGTAACTTTTTCCCCCTGATGGCAAAATGCAAAATTAAAAAAAAAAAATCTTAAAATGTCCAGTCAATATATATTGGTGATTCCAGAGTTCTTTTCACCACTGTTTCCTCCAGGACTGTTCAAATTCAGATAATAAACACGACATGAATGGATGTCCAATGTCTTTAAAGCAGCACATTGTGACAGAGATTATCAAACCTCAAATCTTCAGACCCTAGCATGCACTGAATACTGTGTGTGTATAGATAACAGTGAAGACCACAATGAGTAGAGGTTTAATTTTAATTATAATTTTAGACAAAATTTAAATAGAAATTAGTACTTTCTAGTCATTTATTTCCCAAATTTCTCTAAGTATCTAAAGTTCTTGGGTTTTTTTGATAGACCTTCTTAAAAATTTGAAGAAATCCAGGCAAATAACCCTGAAGCCCTGAATCCAAAATCCTGATTTCCTATGGATTTCTGTCTACTGTGAATTAAGGAATGAGATCTGAATGAAGCATTTGCTATCATATGCAGAATTACTAACTATACTCTCATTTCTGGATTCTCTGACATTTAGTAAGTCATAGAGTGGCACTATAGCCATTTTTTTTTTTTCCTCCTTAGTCATTCTGCTTGTATATGTTATAAAAGTCACCTTTCTTAAACTACTGCTATTTTCCTGCCTTGGAAGTTTTCAAAAAGCACAGACAGAGAGGAATGGACAGAGCACGGCTGCAATTGAATGAATACATTCCGTTTACAAAACAAACTGTGAGGAAACACAAGGGCACCAAGACCTTCACTCCTGCAGAAAAAATATAATTTTAACACCTCTGTATGTAATGCTGAATTCTTGTGACAATGTAGATGTCTTGCCCATGGACCATAGGTAAAATAGAGATTGCATCCAAAGTTAATCCCCAACTCTATCCCTCATTTGAAGATAAAAATCCTCAATATTTTCAGGGAACTAGAGAATAAATCAGATTTTCCTTGTGTTTCCACATCATAGTCTTCCCTGTTTCTGGAAAGAAAGATGATGGTTTTCACAAGGAGTAGGTGATCATATTGTCTAAAATAACAAATTCCCCTGAATATAATCAATGGCAGTTTATCAGATTACTGACAGGAGTGTGGTGTATCTTAAAGATGTGTACACTTCAAAACAACATCTCCCAGTGACTGATCTATGAGTTTAGTGAATCTGTTCACTGAGTGAGCTTGAATACAGTGCAGTCTAGATACCATTCTGGTACAGGAATGCTAATCAGACAAAC